GGCGACTCTCTCTAGTCTTATCTGTCATCTAGAGCTACTCTGACCTTTTCTTTTTTTGAGAAGAGCAAAAATTGCACTTAAGAAGAAAAAGAAGTTAACCTAATACAAACTAGGCAACATAAGCTAATGATACCTTTTTTCAACATGAAAAAGTATCTTATTAAAAACTTAAAATTTGTTATTTTTAAACTTATTATAATTGTAATTGAAGTCCACTATAACTATTTTTGAAACTGTTGAGATACAGGGGATACCAGTATAAAACAACCCGAGGGTTGATTAGTATCCAGAAGTTCCCATCCAGTTAAGAATAAGAAATAGTAAAGACCACATAAACAAATTAAGCAAAATTTAAAATAACAAATTAAAGGAAGGGAAAGAAATAAAAACTAAATAATGAAAAATACATTTCAATGAAAAATTCATAACTTTAGTAAGTCTTTGCCAAAACTTGAAGACCTTGTTCCATCTTCAAAAAGCATCTCTCTTTTGTTGCTATCCACTGAAGAATCCTTTTTCATATTAATGGATATTAAGGAAGAAGAACCTTTAAAAACGTTCTTCTCCTTGTGTTCAGCCATTTTCCTTCTAGGCATTCTTTCAACGCGGACCCAATCCTTGAAGTTCTTTGAATAAAACATGCTTTGCTCCGGGTGTAACATTATTCTTAAAAAAGTTTTTTATCTTTTTTTAAGAATAATTTTTTTGAAATTCAAGCTATACAGCTGATGGAGAAGAAGATGAGTCAATGATATTAGAATAATTTACCATTACTATTAACATCAGCGTCAAAGTAGATAATGTTGACCTCCAGTAATAACCAAGAACAAAATCCGCATACCTCGTCGATACGTAATCGAGAGATCCCTGAAAATCCGCAAAAATCCCGGTTGGGAATCCTCGTATCCCGTCGAGGAAAGCCGTCCAAATCCGAATTCCGCCGAGGTTACTGTACATCAGCGTCGAATTCCATCATTTCTCCATGTTTTTTCTGCGACAAAACCTGCGACGGCATGGCCATCTATTCTGATTCGCTCCCTATCTCCGCGTCGTTAAACTACCGACCACATAACGAAGTCGATGGCTGCATCTTCCACCAAGTTCGCCACTCCAGCCTCACTCGACTGAGACCCCGTCGTCCAACCTCTCCAATATGTCCGATCTCTCTGCCTCTGCCCGACATCGCAACCCCTCCGAACCTCCTCCTCTCCAAGCCGCCAGAAATCCCGATCTCCACTGCTCCTCGTCCCGACCTCAAGCACGAACGTCAAAGGCCTCGTTCTCTCTGCACCGCACCACTCTCTCCGAACATTCCGGCGCTCTTCCAATCCGACATCGTCGCCTCCTTCCCATTCGCAAGGCTGCCCGACTTCCTGCTCGCGACCTGAGCTCGATCCCACGGGACTCGCAGCAGAGAGAGAGAGAGAGAGAGAGAGCGAGAGAGAGATGAAGAGAGAGAGAGAGAGAGAGAGAGAGAGAGAGAGGAGGGAACCGACAACCTTGAACGGGATCTCACCCGAGCTCCAGCCGAACCCGCGACCCGACCTAGCTCCGACTCCCCCTTTGCCCTCCGACTTCGCTCCATCTGCGACTTTCCCTTCCTGTTGTGGATCGGAAGTTTCGGCATTTTGAGCCAAAGCAACAATAGGAGCTCGTTTGCTATGAAGGTAACTTTCTCCCTGAACGCGCTTCTTCGGCCAAATCCCGAAATCCGCCGAACCAGAGGGATTTTCCCCTCTTTCATTTTCTTTATTTTTATTTATGATTATTATTATTAGTATTATATATTATTATTATATATTATTATTATTTTAATTATTTAATAATTAAATTTCAGTAAATTTAAAATAATACGAATTAATTAATAATATAATTAATATATAACAAGATTAATCACTATGTATAATAAAATACTAATATAAATTTAATTATTAATTAATTAATTATATTTGAATACAATAAATATAATTAAATATAATTAACTAATTAATTTATTAATAATAATTTAATAATAAACAATAAAATAAAAGCTTATGCAATCCCTCCACTCCTTCCTCGGCCGTCCGTGTTCGGACCGGCCAGCACCACCTAAAGCACGCCTTTAGTGGCCGTGTTAGGAGGAACCGTGCGACACCTACGACGAGGAAGGCGAGTGACCCCTCGATCCACGTGTCAACCACGACAACCCCGCGGAGGTATGGAAACTTTTCTAAAACTCAAACCTTGCTTCAATGTCCGTGGCAAAACTGGAGAACTGTTCCTAAGCACGCCTTTATTGGCTTAGGATGAATCCCGGGCGGCACGTACGGCGAAGCAGGGTCACTCATAAGTACCCCAGGCGGGGGAAATAAAAACTTGTTATCAAAATGCTTTTTATAAAACACCCATTGCACGCCTTTATTGCGCCTGTGGTGGAGAAAACAAAAATTACAAACGCCGCGGTGGTCTCACCAACACACAACCGTGCACGCCTTTAGTGGCGTGGCGGGTAGGCGGGCCTCTTGGTTTTTTCCCCTAAACGGGGGAGACGCCCGGGAGGCTGCCGAAATTTTGTTGAAATACAGGACAAGGACTTGGAACCATTTGGACTTTGCTAGACTTGTTTTCAATCTACCTAATTTGAACTGAAAACCAAATAAATCAATTCTAATTGAAGATGAACAAAGAACTTGATTGAACTCGTTTGGAACTCGACTTGGAACTCCCAAAACTTGTGGACCTCAAAACTGAACAATCTTGAACATTTCAAGGGAACTTGATTTTGCAAGATTTGGGACTTGAACTTGACACAATGACTTGAATTGGACATTTAAACTCAAGTAAAGACTTGAGTGGACTTTGAACTTGAACTCAAAAGAGCTTGGTGCAATAGAGTTTTGACTGGAAACATTGAACCATAACATTAAGTTCTTAAAGGGTTAAATAATTGACATTGTAATATAAATACAAGATGCTAATCAAAAGGGGGTGATCCATTCTGAATTTCATCCAAGCAAAGCAAATAATCACCCATTACAAGCTTGCGTATTAAAAACTGATTGAAACAATTATAATTAGCCTACAATGAATCATCTCAATCGAATGAAGGAATGCCAATGTTTTCGCAAGCTTTTTTTTAGATGAAGTTGCTAATGGAAAAGAAAAATTCCTATGATCGTTTAAAGAATTCATCAAGAGTAATGGAATCGCCCTCTTCAATGTTGCAAAGCCATAATCCTCCCATGAAGCTTCAGAATAAATGATGAAGGGCACTTATGCTTACCAAAATTGCAAAACATCAACATGCAAACAATAATCTTGCCTACAAATGGCATGAATCCAACAACATCTGTAATCAATCACCACTCATTAATATAGGCAAGCAACTTTGCGTCTCATGCAAGTAAAGATTAAGGAAGAAAAACAATGACAATCAGACATACATTTGTATCAATCCATATGGAAGAGATTGCTGATCAAACAGCATGGCACACTGAAAGAACACGAAAGAACATGATTGCGTACTAATTAAACTCGTAGCTAATGGTGGCTAATTTCTTTTGCCTAATAAAGACTAGTATGATTATAAGTTCAATAACCTGCTCGTAGTCATATGATTAATGCATGTAACAAAAGTGATCACTCTCCAAATGTGGAGCAACAAATCTACTGCAAATTAAAGGCGAAAGATACATAGCAAATGTAAATACCTACGATCCCTTACAGTAGATCCGCTTAATGCCACCATATGTCATTTATGGACAATACGAAAGGGGACTACATAAACAACAAGCAGGATGCTAAAATTATTCATTACAGCGATGACTACCAACATTTAGTCAAATATATATGCCTTCTACAAGCAAGAGTAAAGATCTTGCCAAAAACATACAAGCTCTCTACGAAGACAGATGTAATGCTGCCACATGCACGGATGGGTAGATGCATAAAGACTTTAGTAAATGCAGTATCCTTGAAAGTCAATTTCAGTCTGTGAAGGAATACATCTACCTGTCCACTCATAACAATGACGATGTACTATAGAACCAATCAACTACAACGATACCAAGTATCTACGAACCAAAGCAGGGAGAGACTCGTTAGTGCACTTTGACCCGCCTACGAAAATCAACAAAATAGTGCAACGACAGTTTCCTACCTGTACGAAGCAGCGAAACAACTCTATCCTAGAAGCTGCTACGCCACGCCACACGGCATCTGCCCAACCATTTGGTACAAGCCCAGACACGAGGCGTCTATTCCAAAAATACCCCCCTGCACATGCACTATAAATTTGTATTTACACATAGGTACACTAAAGGGGAAAAATTATATCTTCAACCCGCATGGGCCCCGGCGAGCGTGTTATTCCGTACACACGTGACTTAGCGATGGCGCGGAGTTGACAGGTGAATTATAAGTTCCGAAACCGAATCCTCTATCCTCTCTTTAGGCGTCGGACCGGGGTCCCATCCCACCACGCGCAATAAAGGCGTGTATAGGCTATTTTCAGGTCTGCTGCGAACAACGACGCGACAATCTGAGTTTAGGAGATTTCGTACCTTCGCGGGGTTGGCAGTGTCGGTTCGAGGATCGAGGGATGAGAGAGTAGCATTTTTGCAATTAATGATAATTAATATTAATTACCGTAATAATTAATTAATTATAAATCTATAATTAATTATTAATTATTAATCAATTATAATTAGTAAATTAATTATAACTATAATTAAATGATGAATAATTATAATTAAGCAAGATTAATCATAATTAATCAAATAATTATAATTTATAATTAATTACTAAATATTAATTAATTATAACTACAATTAAATAATAATTAAAGATAATTAATAATTATTATAATTAATAAAAAAACTATTGTTTTTACTGGATTTGGCCAGAGAAGCGGGTGAGAGGGACAAAGTTACCTTCATTATAACTATAATTAAATAATAATTAAAGATAATTAATAATTATTATAATTAATAAAAAAACTATTGTTTTTACTGGATTTGGCCAGAGAAGCGGGTGAGAGGGACAAAGTTACCTTCACACCGACGAGTTCCCGTTGTTGCTTCTGAATCAAAATGTCGTAATTTCCTTTCCAACAGAAAGGAAAGTCGTCTAATGCGCGAAGTCGAACAGCACCGGAAGAGTCGAAGAAGAGCGTGACAGGGAGAAGGTTAACTTCACGGCAAACGAGCTCCTGTGCTTGCTTCCGATCAAAACACTGTAAGTCTGTAACTTCCGATCTCAACTAGAAAGGGAAGTCGTCGCTAGAGCCGAGCCGAACAGCCACGAAGGAATCGAAGAAGGGCTCGGGTAGGTCTCTCTCTCTCTCTCTCTCTCTCTCTCTCTAGGGACTGATGGATCGGGTAAGGGCGGCAGGGAGGAAGCTCGGCTCGGGGAGTAGATCGGAGCTCGGACAGAGAGGAAGGGAGATCGGGATTTGGTCGGAGCAGTGAAGGGCGACGGGAGAGATGGAGAGCAATGGAGGAAGAGTGTCGTGGAGTGGAACCGAGCGTGGAAGAGTCGAGCAGCCCCCTCGCTATTTAACGATGATTTGGGCGCTCGATCGAGGCGAGCTCGCGGCTTTTGAGCAGGATTTCACGGGAAAATCGACTGGAGCGGCGCCGTTTGCAGTAAATTAGCGGGATTTCTGCGGGATTTCCGGCCGGTTTCGTGGATAGGAGGTTTGGTCTGATTTGATTTTTTTTTGTTTCTTCTGTGCATTACACAGAGGTCAACATAAATGTTGCACATGGGGGTCGATGCAGCGCCTCTTGTACACTTCTTGATGTATTTAGGTCATACAGCGTGTCGCTTCCAGGGAACGCCCTAGTATTTACACAATGTATTAAATGACTCATGTCATGATTATTCGACAAGTTTTATGCTAGCTATCAACCACCTGAAACAACCTTCCACTTTTCTCATCTAGAACATGAGACCTAGTAATGGAAGCTATTAGAGACTGTGACTTTGTATTATTATTATTTTCAAATTAAACCTTTTTTAATTAAATTAATGACTATAATTGTAGGATAAATAAATAAATAAAATAAAAATAAATTCCTGTATACGTTCCTTCATATGAAGGTGAGAGGAAGTTAGATAGAAATGCACGTTCAAGATAAAAATGTAGATGTGGTCTCTATATGCTCAACAACCTCGTCATTTTGTGTACATTTATTTATATTCTCTGGACCCTCTCACATTTCTTCGTAGTTGTTATGCAGGTATTTTTATTCAAGTATTTTACGATTTTTTGGTTGAAATTTTACTTATTATTATTTTTTCTCCTATTTTTTTAAGGTACCAATTTTGTCCAGGAAAGTTCATATGTCAACTTTAATTGTTTTTTTTTAATAATTCAGAGGTGAAGTTACATATGTTAAAGTCAAATTAATTTGCTCTATGAAGTGCACGTGGAAAAAAAATAAAGTTGAAATGATATTTAATTTTGTCCAATTAAAGTGGACTGCCAAATTGAAGGATAGGAACTCTTACCCTAACAAATATTATATAATTTATTCATATGTTTGAAAGTTGAGATTTAAAGTAGATCAAACATTACTTTCAATTCCCATTGTTATGTTTAATTAGTACAAATTTACTTTAAATTTCAACATTCAAAGATGTGAATAAATAGTATAAAATTTGTGTGGATAAGAGATCTTATCCTTCTAAAAGAATAGTAATGAAAGTTTCACTTACTCAACAATCAACAAAATAATTTTCTCAAAAGAGGCTCCCCAATTTCAGAAGTGGGAAGGGTCACTTCCTCCCGCTTGAGAGCAATCAAACATACCCTAAGCTTTGAAGGACAAAAGATAAAAGAAGAGCTTACAGCCTTCAAGAAGTAATAACTTATTTGCTTCTCTCCTCCGGGAAATAACACAGGATCCCAGATCCTTTCAAACCTAGGATTATGTTTATGTTAGTCATCTCTTTGTTTAAACTAAATTCTAAGTACGGATAAAATAACTTACATGTAATGCAGACGTTCAAATCCACCACCAGATCCTAAACCTGCAAGTCCAAGAATTTGCAGACCCTTAGGAGTCAGAATTCCTCCAGACGGGAGAGAGACCTGTTCAAGAAAATTATAACTTAAAGATACAAAGGCACTTGCATTGTCAAAAACAGGGGAAATTATTAGGTGCGGACACCGGACGTAGAGATGCGTCCGGATTATTGCGTACCCTATGCTTAAGCTCTGCGTATATACTGCGTATTTGTAGTAAATAAGCAGCAAATATTTAGTTATGAGGATTTGCTGCTTAATACGTAGAGTATAAGCAGAGTGTAAGCAGAACGTACGTAGAGTGTAAGCAGAGCGTACACAGTGCATCCAGTAATCCGGACGCATCTCTACGTCCGGTGTCCGCACCTAATAATTTCCCCAAAAACAGAGCCCAGGATGAAGTTATGAACTTACCCCTCCACCTTCAGCTTCATTTAAGAAGTTAACTAGTTCACAAACAACAGGGATATCTTGGGGGAATCTTCTATAATATTTCTCATTCTGATGAACAACCTGCTCAAAGCAGGCCCTATATACTGTATCTGCCGTGCAACCATTTCCGATTGGAGGGATACCTCCAGTTAGTAAAACAGACTTCAGGCCATCTGGAGCAAAACTCAAATAGGTAACAGCACAAAACCCTCCATAACTCTACACAAGTAAGAAGAACGAGAGGAGAATAATTAAACAAAGAATGATGCAACAAAATTATCCTGTTTTTTATAAACAATAAAGGGCTAGTTAGGCAAAAATATGAACAATTAAGCACACATAACAGATTTGGATAGAAATACAAAAGAAATTTTAATTGCTTTATTATCCTCATAGTTAATGCCCCACAATTGCTTCCACAATGATTTATGATATTATAATTTGCCTCTTGGGGATAAATTTCAAGGGCAAGCTTGGTGCTCATGACCATACTTAATGTCTCTAAAGCTACCAACCATATGATCAAAAGCGCCAAGGTTCGTGCTTATACAATTTACATTAGCGGAGGAAGGGCAACGTAATGATCCTTCTGAATCTACACTATCATATTGCCTCAAGATATTTGGTAGCCCTTCAATCAAGCCTAAGCGCATTATAACTAATCTAAAGGATAAAACTAGAACTAAAAAATGAGTTCAAATCAGCTTGAACAACAAATCTCAAAGGCATCAAAGTGAATCCAATTACCTAGTTTGAGTCTCCAACAATATTAATTCAAATAAATAATCAGCATTATATGAATGAGGATCAAGTTACTCATCGAGCACACTTGTCAGCTTACAACCTTAGTGAGGATGCTGAAACAATGAGAGTCGTTACAATTGAAACAAACATTGAAAATGAGCTCACATGAAGTAAGTTCCTAAAGAATAAACAAATGTCATTGCAACTCACTTTCAAAACTAAAATCCAAACACTTAAAAAGTTTTAAACAATTATAGCGAAACAAAAATAACCCTTAGCCCAATAATTAGGGTCTGTTGTAAGTTTCCTTTTCTACCATTCTTCTTGTGCGAAATTCAAATAAACTGTATCAACTCTTTATTAGCAACTTATATATATTTCATTCCCGCAAAATTTTTCTCATACAAAACATAATTTTATTTTATTCATAGAAGCTTCTTCTAGGAACCAAAATTTTAAGCAGTTAATCATGTAATAGATTTCTGTTTCTACTGATTTTGTTTTTCAAATTATCTTCAAAAGAAAATTTTATTAGCAAATTTATACCTGCCCTAAAATTGTCCAAGGAGCAGCATCAGATACCAGACGAGTACGAATAAATTCAGCATCTCTGACTATATTATCTGCCCGAAAATGCTTGAGATAGTTAACTAAGTCTGTTGAAGATTTAAATTGGGAAAGAGACGACACTGTCAAAGGAGTAGATAATCCTGTCCCACGCTGGCAACCAAAGATTAATAAGTGATGAAAGCTTTCCAATAGAAAAACTGCAAATTCAACATTCAATTTGTGAGTTAAGCAAGAACTGTGAACGGTACCTGATCTAGCAAAACAACATGATGATCTTCACATGCTTTCTTTATCCATCCACTGGCTTCCGTAGGACGAGGACTCTCAAAGCCTGGTCCACCTTGTAAGAATAATAAATATGGTAACATTTGCTTTTCCTTTCCAGCTGCAATAAATTAATGTATTCATCAAATTAGCATGGCAATAACAGAGAAATAAGATTCAAGAATTGCTTCATAAGTTCGAAACATGTATGATGCATCTATCACTTTGCTAATAAACAAAAATCATACAAAACAATCATAAAAACGGTAGAAAGAGTCTACTACAAAAGGAAAATAGAGGATGTAACTAGAGAGAACAACTAATAGATAGAAAAACAGAAAAATCCTAATTAGAAACTTAACTAATATACTCATTTAATAGAAAAAAAATCAATATAATTGTGACATACTGACCACAAACTGCAATGAATATAAAATGTAGGCCATGCAATTGATGGAAATTTGCCAAATAGCTTATCAGTAAATGAAGCAACTTAGCTCTATCGAGCTGCCCTACAATTCAGCCAATGAAGCTACAATATGGACCTGTGGTCACAAGACTACCTAATTTCTTAAGATCGTATTTCTCACAACTGTCTTATTAAATATTTAGTTAAAAATCAATTAAACAAGATGAAATATCAAACCATGCATACAAACCACAAGAGAGATGAACAAAGAAGGAACATAAGCATGAGGTTTTTTCCGGTTCTTCTCAAAGAAGAAGAAATGAATGTGCATCGCTACCATCGACATAATCACCATCATCAATCCCTTGTCTCGCAGGTATAAGCTTTTGAAACCTAAATCCTGTATTCGGAGTTTGTGTCGAGCCAAAAACCCCTTAAACGTGCTCTCGTAGCACGGTAGGAGGAAACTCGGTTCGACGCATGTGATGAGGCGGGTAGGTCGTGTACACGCTCTCGTAGAGTAAAGGGGACACCCGTAAGTACCTGTATACGCTCTTGTAGCGTGGCGGGGAAAACCAACTGCGTTCTTCAACATGTATTTTGAAGCCCCATACACGTTCTCGTAGTGTGGTGGGAGTGAAGATGTACGACCTCGGCGTCCCCCAACACCTACCATACACGCTCTTGTAGCGTGGTGAGATGACCTAGTTTCCTATAGTTTCCCCTAAACGGGAGAGACGTCAGGAGGCTGCCGAAATTCCAAGCAAATGCAGAGGACCTGATTTGAATAGTAGAGACCTTAAACTTGCACATTGAATGAGCAACGACAAATTGAACTTGAACTAAACAGAACTACAGGAGACCTGAACTGAGTTGAATGCAAAGATCTCGAACTTAATTCAAACAATAGGGGACTTGAACTCAAACAATCGATAGAAAATGTGGACTTGAACATAATGTAGAAAATTTGAATTCAAAAGGACCATAAAAAAACCATAAAAAAACTTAAGTGAACAATGAACTAAACTTAAGTGAATTTGCATGAAATTTTGAAATCAAGTGAACTATAGCACTGGACAATTGGAAAGGAACCATATTTAACATGAACTTAATTCATATGACAGGGCTTTGGACCCTTAAATTGATGTTTATGCAATAAAGATGAAATGTAAAGTCTTAAATCATAAGCTTCGAACTTTTAAATAAATGTCAATGAGCAAATAAGAAACTTATTGCATGCAAACGTCGACGACCCACACATGATTGTGAGCATGAATACAAGATTTTCATAAAACATAGCGGCTCATTTGTAGGGATAGGTGACGATCAATATACTAAATACACCGGTCTTCTACAACATAGGATTAATGTGCAGCAAATGTGACAACACTTGTGAACGATTGTATACAACAAAAAAAGATCAATTAACCTACAACAACATTTCTACTACTAACAATCATGCAATGCCAAGCAAATAAAAGACTATAGTTTCTTACAGGTTCTGAAGATAGGTGTACCATGAGTTTAGTAAGTTAATATGTACAAGGAAATTGTTGAAGAGTATAACTCAATCAGAAATAAACATGAACGATGCAAGTTCATCATGCAAACTACAATCTATTCCCAAGCAGACTGAAAGATTTGTAATGCTCAACATGACTCATACACAAGCAATAGAATTGCAAGGTAGATGAATATGAAGAAATGCAATAGCACTTATGTAATTAACAACAGTTCAACGTCCAAAAAATACATTGATAAAGGAAATCAATGCACAATGAACATGACGATTGATGCAGTCAATGAGTCTGAAATGAATGCACCAGTCTTCTACGACATGAGGCTAGCATACACCACAAATGTATACACATGAATACAAAGAAATGTATGTGCAATGGAAAACTCATATGGGCCTCGACGAGCATGTATGAATACACACATGACGCCTAGGGATGATGCACGGGTTAATAAATAAACTCAAATTCGAGCCCAATCCTTTTATGTTGATAGATAGGAGTCGACACAACTCAAACTATTAAACATATATATGATAAAGGTGTCAACCTGAATATCTGATTTATACGTTCATATTAAACCTTCAAGGTCTATAACAAAAGAAATTCAACAGCAAAAACATAAAGCCTATGAACCCAATCCTCGGTCGGCAAGTTAACATAGTTGACAAGGTTTAGTCAATAAAATTTCTAAATACCCGTTCACCCCAATGATGGCCGTATTAAATGTTGATCTCAACCGGAGGAGTCAATTCTAAATATTTCAAAAATATCATCGAAATACCTATAAAATCCAAAAATTTCAAAACCTTAAAATATTTAAAATTGAAATAAACACATCAAACATTTAAAGCTAAATCCATCCACCCTCCGTAGTAGTTTGCCTAGGTGGACAAATCTGAAAATATTACTTCATGTCACAAAGAGCTAATGTCTGGTTGAGAATATCACTATGATTCATTCTCAAACACTCTCCCACCAGCGGGGACAAAGAACGCGTCCTCTAACTGACAGTTTTGCCGCCAAATGGCACCGCAGGTAAACGGTTATGACCGGGGCACTCTAAATCAGGTGATTTTGCAGCAAAATAGCACCACTAAATTACTGTTATAGTTAGAGCCCATAAACTCCCCAAAGGTACTAAATCCTTTGAGATATAAAATATAAATCAATAAGATATGATCGATAGAACACATAGCCCTCTGTTAGCTTAAGATGAATTCAAATTTGTCCTCTTAGACGAACATCCACCCCAAGTCTATAAGGTACCCTTTGACAAAGCAACCTGTGGCTACCGACAAGGATCCTTCTAGCAGGTTGGGTCGACTACCTCCTTTGACTAAGTAAACCAGTAACCACGAAGGCCCAGGATGAAGGAACCATAAGATCTTGATCGGGTCCATCATTCATTTCCCCACCATCTGCTTTAAATGCAAGATGGTAAAATCTTCAATTTTAAATATCAAATTTTCAAACCCTTGAGCCCATGCAGCTACTATAAGGCTGATAATATGTATCTCTACGTATCTGATCGACGACTAGCCTTAATTGAAAGTTCTCTCTCGTTACCGAGAGGGGTAATTAACTATAGCGGCTTGCGCCTATATGAAACCAGAATCACCTCACAAAATGGAACTTTTATTTGGTCCTGTGAAAGGACGTAGAGCTACATTAGGCCGGCACTAAATCGCACCACGTAGCAGGCACAAAACCACGTATTTGTTGATTTTGCTCGGCAATAACGAGAAATACCATTATGTGAAGACAAATACCGAGCAATACCGAGTAATACCGAGCAACACCAAGCAATACCAAGTTTTTTCTAGAAAAACTCGGTATTACTCGATATTGCTCGGTATTACTTGGTATTGGTCTTCAAAGAGCGGTATTTCTCGTTATTGCCAAATAATACCTAGCAATACCGAGCAAATACCGGGTAACTCAGTAGTGACCGAACGTAGAGTTAAGTCCGGTCACTTGACCTAATAATTGTTCCACAAAATGAGGGTGAAATCTTTGGGTAGTGTCTTATTTACAATCCCAATCTGTCTTCCAAAAAATTTCCCTGGAACTTAATCTGTTAAAACTCCCCCAAAAATAGCGAGGAGGCCAGAGTTGGAGCCCACACTATCACATTCTAAATCAATGTCACCAATCATGGAAGAAGAAAGCATTGGCGATCATGTAGTAAGCCCTATTTTATAAAAGTAATGTAGCAGAACAACTGTCTACAAAATGTGTTCCATCAATGCAAATAATAAAGGTTAAGCTTCCTCATTTTAATGAAGTAGATGTAAACACGTAGGTGTTTGAAGCTTATAAATTCTACAATTTTTTATAATATACATAAAATTGTGGGAGATGCAAATGCAACTTGGTATCAATGGTCAAAATTGATAGTATGACATTCAACGTGGTAAAGTTTTCAACAAACATTAAAAAATATTTTTGGACTTTCTCAATATAAAGATCCATATGGGAATCTATCAAAATTATCTCAAATAAGTTATGTTCAGATTATAAAGATGCCTTTAAGAAGCTAGCATATATTATTCCAAGTCTTTCAAAATTTTCTCTTTTTAGTTTCTATCTTTTATATAAACAAGCATATACGCGAAAAGGTTGGAATAGCTCCAGCGACAAATAAGATTAGAGAGTTTAGATTGTTTCATCACATAAAACGTTGGCCTTTTGATGACCCAGTTAAAATAGTAGATGTATTAGATTTGGCCTATGTTAAGAGAGTTACAAGTAGGACCTAAAAAGACTTGGTTAGAAAATATAAGAAATGACCTTTTTATTAGATTTAAATGAAAATTTAACTCTTAAGAGAAAAAACAAAGCAAAAGGATTTATATAGCTGACCCCAGGCAGTGGAATAAAGGCTCGATATTTTTGTTGTTGTTAGTTTCTCAGTCTTTGGTTTGAAAATAGAATTACATTGGGAATTATTAATAACTAAACTCATTATGTTAATCGATGTGAAGGAGTTCGCTAAAATGCATGAAATCAAGTTTCAAAATTTGTGCAAAGATACCATGTGACCTTAGCTGTAGAATACCTTTGCACCTTCAAATGTTACACTGAAAACTCCATCATTAACACCACAATTTAACAGGGTGGTTTCCCTTTTTTCTTCAAATGCACTAAACATTCTTAGGATTTGCCTATCCGCAAGTAAACACCAGTGGAAATTCA